TTACTCAAATGAGAGAAAGAGTCCAGAGTTCTCACCTCTGTTGACTATCAAGAACCAGGGACTCTGTCTCATTTGCCAAAGCGTCTGAAATCAGATGGGCTGGACACGTAATGAGATTTGGAGACAACCGCTGGACTAGAGCCGTTGCTGACTGGATTCCACCGGGATGTTAAAAGACTGCATGACTGCCCACCTATGAGATGGTCAGATTTCTTCGTCAAGACCCTGAATGATCAGTTTGAGGCTCTTTGTGTTCCTAGAACGAGTAGACGCCATTGGGCCACGCTAGCACATGGCAAGGATGAATGGAGACGTTACTGGCGCCTGCTCCAGCAAATCGACGAGTAACGGGATGTCAAGTGATCAAGTGATCACATCCAGCTTTTATTTCAAGTAATTATAATAAGCTACCCAAGAAAAGGGTTTTTGTTGTTGCTGTTGCTTTGGTTTTTGAACCACACCTGTCGATTTGCCAAGAAGAGGTTTCTAAGTAGGAAAGGTACTGATAAACTATGTATTCTATGGCTGGATAAAGGGATAATGGTGTGGTGTGACGTGGCAACATATAATGGAAGAGGTGTAGAATTGCATCTGCATCTTATGAACAATATAACCTCAATTTAAAAAAGAAAAAATTCAGTGAATGAAAATTCTTGGAAAATAAAGATTTCAAGGTTTCTGCCATAGAGTAATCTCATTATATCTCTATGCGTGTAAGTCAAAGTATAATAGGTTTACATATAATACGGATATGGTAAATTTTCACTAATTCTTCAGGGACTTACAATTTAGCACACTGGTCCCAGGGAAATTGTGTTATTAAATATTCACCAATGTTGAGTGAAATAACAGTCATATTTTGTTAATCTAGACGTAAAATATGTTTGAAAAGCAATGTGAAAAATCCCACAAAATACAAATCTCTTAATTTCTCAGACTCCAATTACTCTGCAACTCAGGTCTAACCATAATTTTTTTTTTGCATACCCATTTGTGTTCACGGCTTCCTCCTGGCTCTGAGCTCAAGATTGACCCTTTGTTGACTTGGGGTATCATATGGGGTGAGGATCAAACTCAGTTTGATCACTTGCAAGGTAAGCAACCTATCCATCGTTACTATAACTCTGGCCCCACCATGAATATTTTTTCTGTGTTTTGCAATTTTGTCATTCTCTCCTTCACCCCTCTTTCAGCACATACATAAAAGCATAGGTAAATTCTATCTTTTAACTTGAATTACTTAAAGCTCTTGACAGCTTTGTATATCATTGTGCCTAAATAAAACTTTTTAAATGTAAAACTTAGTACTTTGAGTCAAGTCTGTTTGGCTGAGTCACATTTCTGCATCATGTATTTCCCAGACCATGGCTGAAAATAGGCTGAGTATACACCACATGTGTTGAACAACATTGGGTTGTCCTTGCTCTTCCCACAGGGAGCTTAGGTTTATTGAGTTACTCCTACAACAGTGTTCCTGAGACACACCTAATTCCATCAGGCACTAATAATCCCATATTGCTTTTCTCTTCCCTCTATGTCCTTTGTGTGGTTTAGCAATGTCCTTTTTTGTATAGACACAAGAAGACAGTTCATGCTATGATTTTGTAGCTTGGGAGTTAATTGACTTTAAATAATACTTACTCCTGGACATCCATCATATTTACTTGACTTAAGCCTCAGTTGCCTTTACTTCCTAACACCCTCAAAAGGAGGGTCTTGGCAAGGGACAAAGATGGACCCAGGGTAATCTGTAAGATACCCTGGCATCAGAAAGGGTATAAGTGCTAAGTGCCATATAAAGTATAATAAGTTAAGAACACGGTCATGGAACAAACTTCTGTCATGACCCAAAAAGAAGTAACTGAATAAGGACCCTATTGGGGTTAGGAAAGACTAACCTGTCCTGATGACTCTAGCCTGGGATAGAGAGAGAGATGTCCCCAGGAAGAGCCAACCTGTAAGCTTAATATATCTCTTACTGTGTTCATACAAAATGACTAGAAATATTAGTAAGAAGTAAATTTACTACAACTGTTTCAATGGATTACTAGCTGAGGAAAAGAGAAAGCAATACAACCTAGATGGAATTCCAGCCCTTGAGCAGATCTCCTGGTAATCTAGAGAGCTGAACTCTCAGATGTGATTTTGGTCCATGGGTTAATCTCCTAGAACTTCCCCTAAAGTGAAGGAGTGGCTTTATATCTGTTTGTTGTTCTGAAAATGTTCAACCCCACCTATGTGTACCCCCACTCTTCATGACTTCTATATAACTATGCTGTAAGGAGTAAGAGGAGAGGAAGACTATGAGGAAGTCAAAGACTATGAGGATACTAGGATGATGGAACTATGATGACTGGGATTATGACAAAACTTGACTATCACTGTGCTGTAAGGGTGAGATCCAACTATGCTAGGGAGGAGAGAAAAATAAACTATCAACCAGCCTGGGACCCTGTTTCTTCATTACCCTAGTCCTTTGTTCATCTGTTGTGGTGGGCTGACCAAGGCAACAGTTCTCAGCCACTGAACGCTCCAGTCCTATGCCCCCATGCTTTTCTTTTGAAACTCACAACACATGCCTATAATCATTGCCTTCTTACACAAGCAGGTAAGAATAACTGGAAGCAAAATTTATCTGCTGCTTTCAGGAAAAAGGCCAAGGCCTAGATGTCCTTCTGTGGAACTGCCATGTTGAAGGACATAAATCATGCTTTCTTCTTTTTTTTAAAAAAAAAACACACATTTATCCTTCATGTAGCTTTATGCTTGCTTGTGTCTATATGTGTATATGCCTTTATAACTTAATTTCAAAATGAACAGTAATTTGTATTTCTTTTATTAGTGAGAAACCATGAGGTACAACTGTAGACTTACAAATTTTGTCCTTGGGTTTCAGTTACACAATGATCAAATACCCATCCCTCCACCAGTGCCCATTTCCCATTACCACAGATCCCAGTATCCCTCCCACCCCCCATCCTCCCCATTCTACCTTGCCTCTATGGCAGGACATTCCCCTCTGTTCTCTCTCTCCTTTTGGCTGTTGTGGTTTGCAAAAGAGTCATTGAGTGGCAATCATGTTCGGTCTATAGTCTACTTTCAGCATGCTTCTCCCATCCTGGGAGGATCCTCCCAACACCCTTTATTTGGTGCTCCCTTCTCTATCTGAGCTGCCTTTTCCCCTAGAATGTGTGGCTGGCCTCCAAGCCATGGAGCAAAATTCCTGGTACTAATCTCAGCCACTCTTGTGTGTTAGTCTCCTATTTTGTTACTTTATGTTCCCCAGATGAATGCAATCTTTCTATGTCTATCCCTCTCTTTCTGGCTCATTTCACTTTCTCAAAGAAGAAATACGAATGGCTAAAAGGCACATGAGTAATTTGCATTTATAAAAATATATGTATTTTTAGAAAATGTGGGCACATGATTTACAAGACCATTAATAATAATTTCAGGCTTTCAATGTTCCAACTCCATACCCAGCACCGGAGCCAGAGTCTCTGTACGGGTGTTCCATAGTTCTCCTCCAACAATCTCTAAACTACCCTGGCAGGAAAATTGCTTTTTAAATTGAATTACTAAAGTTTGAATCCCGTGCTCATTTCGGCAGCACATATACTAAAATTGGAACGATACAGAGAATATTAGCATGGCCTCTGTACATGGATGACACACAAATTCATGAAGAGTTCCATATTTACAAAAAAAAAGTGTAGATCCTATGTTTGCAGTAACAGTAACACTCCTGGCTTTGAAATACAGATTTCTCTCATCTTGTTATCTTCACTTTTTTTAAATGTAAAGAAAAATTCTAATAGATGCAATGATGGGTTCTTTAACAGGTGTTTAAGATAAATTTAAGATCATTGTAAATTAATGATAAATATTTATCTAAATGATAAATTCCTTTGGTTTGTTTTCCCACTGTCTTTACCACAGGCACCAGACACAGGTCCATGACCATTGACCCATAAGGGGCTGAATAGTTTGCTTGTTTGTTTGTTTTTAATATAGTAGCTTTTTTTTAAAATCCCCAACCCTGAGCTGCCCGGCAAGCTACCGAGAGTATCTTGCCCGCACGGCAAAGCCTGGCAAGTTACCCGTGACGTATTCGATATACCAAACACAGTAACAAGTGTCACAATGGAGACATTACTGGGCCCACTCTAGCAAATTGATGAACAATGGGAGGACAGTGACAATGACAGTGACCCTGAGCTGCACAATTTAAAAACTACAGCATACCAGGCCAGGGAGACAGAAACAATCAAGGTTGGACATGGTTTAGGCAATACCCAACTAATACATTTTTGATTCACTTTGGGGTCACACTTAGTAATATTCAGTGTACAGGCTGTGCTAGTAGTTGTAAGGGTTGGATGTGTGGCTCCCAGTATGCAAAGCATGCACTTCAGAGACCAGACAAATAGTACAGAGATTAAGGCATTTTCCTTACACACAGCCAATCCAGGTTTGATTCGTGGCCCCAAACACAATCCCCTGAACACTGCCATGAGTTATGCTTAAACACAGCAGGATGTGGCCAAAAACAAAAAACAAACAAACAAAAGAATCAAAAGCCCTTCAGATTGTGTCACCATTTCCACAGATGGAAACCAGAATGACCTTTATGTTTATGGGCTATATTTCGAACTTCTGGGGAGAAGGATCACATGACAGTTTTGTTTGGTGCCAGAGACTAAACCCAAGGCCTCACACACCCAAGGGAAATGCTCAACCATAGAACAAGAACCACAGTCCTCAGGTATTACTCAGCTATGTTTCAAAGGTCATAAGAGTGATGAAATCCCTGATGGGACTCAGTTTCTTCTAAATTCTGATATTCAGGAAAGTAACTTTCACTACAAACTGCTTCCATACAGATCTATCAGCAAATATATAGCTGAAAGGAGAAATATATGAGGTATTGAATAACAAAAAGAGAGAGTGAGAGAGAGAGAAGAGAGAGAGAGACAGATGCAGGCATACACAGAGTCCAATAGCTTTTAAAAATTTATTTATTAATTGCATTACAGTGCAAAACACAGTTGCAGAGTTGTTTATGATTAGAATTCAGTCATATAATATTCTAACACCCATCCTTTCACCAGTGTACATTTCCCACCAATTCCAGTGTCCCCAGTTTCCATTCAGCTCACCAAGAGCCTGATGTTTGGCTGAGGCCTTAGAGGTCTTGGAATCAAACCACCCAGAATACAAGTGGACAAAGTAGTGTCACTACTTCACTTCCAGCCAATATGCCAAGACCAAATACAGTGACTTTTTATTTATCACTTTGTACATCTCATTTATCTCTAGCACTCCCCCACGACTGCTGTGGGATTCTGGTCCCCTGGAATCACCTATGTGGCTCTCAGGGGGGAAGAACAAGGTGGTTCGCATCCCGGGCTGGTCCTGGACACTCGGCAGAGCGCTGTTCCTTTGAGGGAAAAGGTAGGACAAGCAGTTTCTCCTCCAAAGGCCCAATGAAGAGGAAGGAGACATCCAGGGCCTGTCCTTCGGGATCTGTGGTTAGGTCCAGATGCACAGGGAACTCCTCCACTGGACTCGGGTCCTGTGACTGTTCAGGCCTCTCGTCATCCAAGTCAGGAAGTTTCTGGACAGTTCCTTTTGGACCTTTTTTGGCTTCTGCTTCTTTGTTCCCAGGGTCTTGCACCTTGGGGAGCTTTGCAGCCTTTTCACCTTCAGCAGCAGCGTCCTGAAATAAAGAGACTTTCACATGAGGGGCCTCCCCAGGGAAATTCCAGCCCTACCTGGGATCTGGCTAAGCTGTGCTGTGCCTTCCCATCAGAAAGTTTTATGTGGAGATCAGACTGGGTGATGGACCTCTGTTAAAGCGATAAATGTAAAAGGGGAAAGGTCAGGGTGCCAATAACTCTTGGGAGCTTGATGGCAGGTCGTGTGAACTTAGATCTGAACATGAGTCTAGAGAGGACTGTGGTCTGTTCCAGGTCCCACTGAACCACTTCCCTGCTCCAGTAGAACCATGGAAGCCCCTATGTGATGGTTTTTGCTCTCCCAGGTCACTCAGCCTCAACACTCAGGGCTTTGCACACTCTTTCCCAGGGATCTGCAGGAGGAGCTGTTGCCATCCCAGCTACTCAGGAGGTCGGCGAGACTCAGAGAGGCAGGATGTGCCCTTGTCACACAGCTCTCAAGTGGTGGAGCAGGACTGGAACCCAAGTGGCTGATGTCAACCTTCCCCCTAGGCTGATTCACGGAAGTGCTAAATAAATCCTCTGCAAAGGGAAGGGATATTCCAGAACATGAACTTTTCTGTATTAGTCAGTGTAAGGGTCTTAGGAACACTAAATTTTTTTGCCTGGGAAACCTGAGGCAACCAAGTTAACAGGTCTTTATTGTGAAGAATAACTGACTCCATGGGACAACAGCTAAACAATTCTTTTAGCTAAACAGAAAAAGGAAGTCAAATCCTTTCTGACATCTACCCTTTGTGTGTGGGATAAGACACACTGAATAAAATGGTAAGCAAAAGTGTTGGGAAGATAAAAGTGGAGGATGGAAGGGTATCAGCAAAATGGTGGATAATTGCCCTGTTCTTCTCAGAAAGGTAAATGATTAGACTGAAAATACATATACCTGTGGTTCAAAGAAGTCACAGTTCACTACAACAATCTTGTCTGCTTTGATTTCTGTCAGAGAACCTTCGCAAAGGCCAACAGGCTAAAGAAAACACAATAGTGTGTGAGTATTACAAGTATCAAGTCTTACAGAGAAATTAATGTTCTACTCCTTCTTTAGACGCTTGCCAATCAAAACTAAAGCTTTGGTCTTTGCCATATAATAGGCGAAAAAGTGCTAATTCCATCCGGGTCATTCCTAGGAAAGAATGACACAAAGTAAACTAAATTGAATAAGGAGAAACCAGGAACTGGATTACCAATTTTTGAATAATATAAAATTATTTATAGTGGGTAAAAATCTGTTTCTATATAACTTTTTTTTTTGCTTTTTGGGTCACATCCAATGATGCACAGGGGTTACATCTGGCTCTTGCACTCAGGAATCACTCCTGGCAGTGCTGGGGGCACCATATGGGATGCTGGAAATTCAACCAGGATAGGCTGTGTGCAAGGCAAATGCCCTACCCACTGTACTATTACTACAGCCCCATGTTTCTATATAACTCTTACCTCAACTTATCAATAGCACTTAGAGTGTATCTGCTACTATTCTCTACTTCCTGCCTCACAATTTTATGAGGAGAAGGTTAGAATTTTCTGAAGTTGAAAAAAATCCATTACTGCAGGTAATCTTTGCAGGATGGTATCTCACACTTTTCTCTCTCCTTTTTATCCTCAAGACACATAAGGTAGGACTTCTTAAAGAATGTTTTGCAGGGAATGCTGGGATGGATACTATAGTTTGACTGTAACAACCTGGGATGGATGTACTGAACTTTTGCAAATTATTGGTTAAGATGGTGTTGGTTAGAAGATTCACAGAGATGGAGCTTTTGCATCTACCTGTGAGCTCTGGAGTTAGGGACCATATTTTCCATCAAGATTTATATTTCTTACTTTTTTAGAAGGAAGAAAACAGATGGTGATAATGATCTATATTAAAAACGCCAGAAACAGAAATGTTGGCAAGTCTTGAATCCGTGAGAAAAGATATTAAAAATATTAAAAACAAGTCTATAAGATCCAGCAATCTCACTTACAGCTATTTGTCTGAAGAATACAAAATCACAAATTCAACATGTACATTTGCATACCCATGTTCATTGCAGCAAAATCTACAACAGTCAGGTATAGGAACAACCCTGATGCCCATTGAGAGATGAGAATCTAAAGAAGATTTGGTATATGCACACAATGAAGTTCTAGTAATCTCTAAGAAAAGAAAAGATAAAACCTTTTCTTTCTGGAGCAACATGGATGGAATCAGAGCTTACCATGCTAAGTGAAATTAGTCAGGAGTAAGATAAATACTGTACTCTCTCACTTGTACATCAATAGAGAGAAGCACTAGAAATAAATATCCAAATATAAACACAACCCCATGGATTCAGACTCCAGAATTATGATTTTCAGAGAGACTGAATGAAGGGAATAAAAGAGTGGTGAGATACAATGAACCGTGGTAGACTGATATCAGTACTGAGAAGGTGGGAGAGGGATGGCGAACATTTTGAAGAGGTGCGAAATTATATCCCTAAATATTGTCATAAAAACAATGTGACATCAATAAAATGTTTGTGCTCAGTAAAAATGAATGTAGAGTACAAAATCCACAGACAGAATTTTTCCATATATTGTGGTCTTATAAAAGGTTCACTCCATTGTATGACTGAAACCTGATTATGAACAGCTTTGTAACTATGTATCTCACAGTGACTCAATTTAAAAAAATTTAAAAAATAAAATAAAAAGTTCTTTTATGAAGACAGGATAGAAATTAGTGGATTAGCAGTTTCAAGGTTTACATGTGATAGGGAAAGAGAAATAATTAAAAGGTAATAGACTTTTGGGGGGAATAAAGAAAATATTGTAAAATCAGATACTGATGATTGTATTACAATTTTTACATACTAAACATTTCACTAAAATATGCAAGTGATAGGCCTGAGTGGAAAATATAGTGGCTATTTGTCTTGCATGCATCTTTCCCAGGCATGATCACCGATCCCACATATGGTTCCCTAAGCCCCACTGGGAGTGATCCCAAGGCACAGAGCCAGAAATAAGTCCTGAAGACACTGGGTATGGTCAAACCAAAAGAAATAAAATAAAATATGCAAGTGAGGGTGTAGCTTGTGGCTGTGACTTATGCTGTAATAAGAGTTTCTATACTTTATAGGTAAATGGGTGAGGGGGTGTACAAGGGGCTCTTGATGCATTTTCCACCATTGTGGTACACCACACATGTCAATTGGCATGATATTTCCTCAGTGTGTTTCACTAGTGGCAGCCTGCCCTGTGTTGGATACACTGAAGGTCTATTTAACTTTGTTCTCCTAAGGAGTGAGGCAGGGAACGAAACACCACGCTGTATTCTAAATGCAGCTGGTTTTGTTCAGATGAAAGTAGAACCATCATAACCACCGATTCATGTCTATTTTGTAGTCTCTTGTGACAATTGTTTTTGCAAAGATGTAACATTGCTGATGCAAGCTGACCTAAAAATAAACACTTATTCATGAGATAGCACAATTTCTACAAAGTAATAAAAGGATCTGGTGCAAAATAACACCTCATGTAAAATTCATGCTCAGAGATATGCTCAGAAATGTAATCAATCTTGTCACATAAATATAATATTTTGAAGACATTCAGAAACACTCACCACCGGGTCTGGGGACTGAAGTGCGCAGGTACTATCCATGGATTTGGTACACGGTTGTGGTATCTCTTTGATTAAATATTCCACAAAGTTAGAAGGACCATTCACCCACTAGTATGAGACAAGAGTTGAGATACAACAATAAATCTTTTGTATGTGGAAAATGAGTTAGTGTTGACAGCATCTTATTGACTGAATTATATATTCCCAGAGTCAATTTCAAAACAGGTGTCCTGTTCTCTTTGATACCCACCATGATCAAAGTTTGTATTATGATTCTGTTCTTTTGAAAGCAGAAAAAATCATACGGTTTTTACCTTTTAAAGGACTAGAATGGGCTCTGAAAATCTTCCCATGATTAGGAGGACCAGAGCAGGCAGGGTGCTTGCCTTGCATGCAACTGAGCCGGGTCTGAATTGCTGCCCCAAACAGTTCCCCAATCCCCACCAGGAATGGTTCTTGAGTGCAGAGCCAGGAGTAAACCCTGAGCACTGCAAGATGTGGTCCCCAAGCAAAACAAGAAAACACAGAAAATTCTTTCCATGATTGAGCTTATTTTTCCTCAAGCACATTATTATTAGATTAGGTTTTCCTTAGTATTGTAAAGATCACCAAAATCTAATGTAAATGAGCCTGCATTTCCCTAAACCAATAAACCCCAAAATTCCTCTGCTCCAGGACTTAGCATTGAGCAGGAACTGGTCTGCTAATTAATCCATGGTCCACCAGGAATGACAATGTATCTCTAAGTAGGTTACCTAAGTATGATAACCAGGGAGATTTTCTTTTTGCCTTAAGGCCAATGAAGGTAAGTGTAGAAATCTCTGTCTTTAGATAAAATAAATAAAAATACCCACAACCAAACACGATTGTTATGGAAGAGTTCTATAAAGCAAAATATGAAGAAAATACTCTTTATTTGTTATCCAATAACTTAATAACCCTCAGCTTAGGGGCAATGGCAGCAGTTCAGTGACACATTATTGGTATAATTGGGGTGTTTTCATCTTACCTGACTGGAAGCCCTTGTGACTTCAACAAGAGAATACTGCTTCGATGTGTGTTGTCTGTTGTATTTTGCAAGAGTCTCAGTAACAGCTTCCAAAACCTTGGGATCTGAACCATCAAGAGAGCTGGGGCTGGGGCAGTCAGGACACATCCTGTGGATTGATCTTCGAGAAACTGTTGATACCAAGAAAATGGCTGTCACAACTAGCACATTGAATTCTTAATGATTTCTAATATTCCATAAATCATGTAAACACAATCGAGGTCGAAGGTGAATAAAGTATAAAATTGTCACTGTAGGAAAGAAGTGAAAAGTTATTTCCTGGAAAGAAAAGGAAAAAAGGGAAAGTCATTTTGGAAAGAAGGGAAAGTCATTTTTTGGAGAAAAAGTTAACTCTCAGCAAAGATTTCTATAATATGAGAATGCGTACATTCAAAATTTAAAAAAATAGAAGATATTTCCATTCAGACAATTACTTACCCTATAAATTACATTCAAATCCCTGTTACATGATTATTTTAACAGAAACACTTCCTTCCATCAATTAGCTCAGTATCTTTTTTTTTTTTAATTTTTGGGTCACACTCAGCAATGCACAGGGGTTACTCCTGGCTCTGCACTCAGGAATTACTCCTGGAAGTGTTCAGGGAACCATATGAGATGTTGGGAATCAAACCTGGGTTGGTTGCATGCAAGGCAAATGCCCTACCTGCTGTACTGTCATTCCAGTCCCCTAGCTCAGTATCTCTTTAATTACTGCTTTGCTAAGGCAGATTGAGTATCTTTAAGAGTTGAGGCCTTGCACTGTCATGTCTTATTTACCTTTTAGTCCATCACTAGTAATTTATTCATTTATCTAGATGAATGAATGTGTGAATTATTTAATGAGAATGGAAACACAAGCTTTTTGGTTAAAAAGTCATCTGACAGGCTAATGAAATACATCAATATTCTGAGTGTAATCTTTGTTTGTAGGAGGTCTGGGTTAGATTCCTGGCACTACATATAATCCATTAAGTATCACCAGGAGCAACTTTCAGAGAGCCAGGAGCATCCCCTGAGCACCATCATGTGACTCCAAAACAAAAGATAGAAAGAAATGAAAATACAAAGAAGACACAAAAAATACTGTGAGATCACTAGAGAGAATAATTATACTTATTTATATACTTATTACTTCTGATAGTAATGCGGCAGGCTGTGAGAAACCCCATGTGGATGTTGGCTATAAAACTTGTCTGGGGCTTGATTTTCAAAGTAAACACATTGTTTTGCTCAACTGTAGACTCACTGGATGTATGCTGGAGAATCCCACACCCTGTGAGAACTAGCACAATTCTTAGAGGCTGCTTCCTGACCTCTCATATCTCTGGTACCTGTGACTTTCATTGATGTCTAGATTTCTAGGCAGGGGCGGGGGGGATGTCTCTGAATTGCATAGACAAGTCTTGTATGACAAGGACAACACTTAAATGGCTAATAAAACCTTCTCTCTGTTCTTCTGTTCCTCAAAGGACAAGCACTGTTATCATTTGGTGCTTGTTAGAAATGCAGAAGTCAGATCCCATCCTCAATCTATGAATTAGAATCTGCCCTTGAACAAGATCTACGTATGTATTCACATGCACATAATAATTTGATAAACAACCAAATCCTGCTTCCCCAAGCCTCCTATGCTGCCATCTCACCCAGTGTGAAAGCGTCTTGATAATTCAAATGTCATTAGCTTCAGACTCACTGTAATTTACTTATTCATTAAAGTTCTAACTAACCAATGGACTTATATAACTAACTATAAGAGAGCTATTGATGGGAGGAAGAAAAGAAAAAATATTTACATAAATTATGGCATAAATATATACATAATTGCAGAAGTCTCTAAATCTAGAAGTATGTGTTCCATGAATGTTTAGGCTAAAGTGTTGTAGAACAGTAAAGCAATATGTTTCTCTTGGAAGCAGAAAATATGGAGGAAACTGCATTGGCAATAGCTCTAAAGGATACACATGAATTTCAAGGACAAAATGATCAGGGAGAACACCCTCTTTACAGGGAGAGACACAAAAAGACATGGAGATTGGAAATTGGAAATTGTAACATCTCTCGACAGTGAGGCATCCAGAGAACTGAAACTCAAGGGGCACAGAAGAGAAATAGTGCAGAGATGGCAAGACGGCTACTCCAGAGAACAGTTGCACAAGCCTGGTATTTAGCTCAGGTGAAAAATTTTGCATTTTAGATCTAATACATGTGGCAGCTAATCCTTAGAAAGATTTTGTGTGAAAAGAAAAGCAGTGAAAATATTAAAATTTTTAAGTATGTTGGGCCAGAACGATAGTACAACAAGTAGGGCATTTGCCTTGCATGTGACCTACCTGGCTTTGATACCCAACATCACATATGGTCTCCCCAGCACCGCCAGGACTAATTCATGCGTGCAGAGCCATGAGTAACCCCTGAGCAACACTGGGTGTGACCCAATAAGCAAAAAAAAAAAAGTTTTAATAATCTGCTCTTATGGTAGTGAAACTTAGGACAGGAAGCTCCTCTACCTCATGGATAGAGCTAAGTGCTTTCTCCACATCTTTTATTAAAAAATCAGACAGATTTTTTACCTGGACGAAGAGTACAATTATAAGCCACTGTATAGAGAACTCTTCTTGGTTTGTTAATATAAAATAATGCTTTGCATTGGCCATAAACCTAGAAAAAACAAAAACATTTTAAGACAGATTAGGAAAAAACTGCGCCTTTTAAAATTCCTCCATGTAAAATTGACCGTTTTTGGGTAAATTCTTTTTTAAAAAAATAATGTAGGAGTATTGCTATTTTTTCAGCCATTGATAAAGCTGATGGAATTGGGCATGAACTCCACATTACTTTTTTATTTTATTGTATCACCATGAGATAGAGTTGCAAAGCATTCATTTTTGGTAAATTTTTTATGTATGTATCTTTATTATTTTCATTTAAAAGTTTTTATTTAAAAAGAAGTTCTTAATGAGGTAACATTGGTTAACAGAAGCAGAAAAGTTTATAAGGTTTAGGTTATAATGTTACCTCACCACAAACATAATTCTAGTATTTGTCCAAACAGTGCATTGGTCCTTCATGAATTAATTTAGAAATCATTTCTTTACTTGGTTTTGGGACCACACTTGGTGGAACCAGGAGCTACGCCCAGGGGAGTGCTTGAGAGCCACATGGGCCCAGGCCTCCATCATGCAAAGCAACAAGTGTCACAGTGCAAACAGGCGACTTGCTTTCAAAACTAATAGGTTCAGTTTGAGCAATTTAATTATACAAATTAATTTGATATGTCAGCCACCTATTTTATTTATTAACACAATCCTGGACCTATACACTTTAACTGATATAAATCTAAGAATGATGGTGAATAAAATGAAAACTTTTTTTTTCCAATTTACTTGCAGTCATCCGACCCAGGTTCAATTCCTCCACCCCTCTCAGAGAGCCCAGCAAGCTACCAAGAGTATCACACCCGCACGGCAAAGCCTGGCAAACTACCCGTGATGTATTCGATATGCCAAACACAGTAACATCAAGTCTCACAATTTGTTGTGAGATGTTACTGGTGCCCGATGGAGCAAATCGATGAACAACGGAGGACAGTGCAGTGCTACAGTGCTACTTGCAGTCATCAAGAGGCTAGATTCTGTTCTTTTGAGCAGCGGGGGGGGGGGGGGGGGGGGCGTTCCCTAGAGATGCTCAGGAAGGCCTGAGGGTCCCTCCTGACAATACCCAGACAAATGGACAACAAGAGGGTGAATGTGAGGCCCAGAGGATGAGATGCTGCTTTGGCCATTCCTTGCTGGGGGTGCCAGGGACTCCCTGGAGGTGCTTAAGGACATCCAGGGCCCCACCCAGCTGTGCCTTTGAGCCTCCCGGGCTGCATGCAGAGATGACTTAGGGACCATGTATCTGGGGATCAAACTGGAGTCTGCCCAAGGTGTGTGTTGTAATCCCTGTATGGTCTCTCTAGCCTCAGTATTCAAAAATTTGTTTATTTAAAATAAATTTTTAGTGGCCGGGAAGATAGGACAGTGAGTAAGACATAAGAGTTCAATCCTGGGCACCCAACATGTCCTCCAGACAATGCTAGGAGTGATTCCTGAGTGCAGAGCCAGGAGTAACCCTTAAGCATTGCTGGGTGTGTCCCAAAATCAAAAACAAGAAAAACAACAAAACCAAAAATTTATTTTGGTTTCTTTTATTTTGGCATTGGGGTGACAGCTGGCAGTATTCCAGTTCTTTGCTTGAGAGTCATTGCAACTCAGGAGTTGGTGTGGTGCCAGACACACAAAGAGGGCCTCCAGCATGCACAAGACTCACAACACACACTCAACACTTTTGTTCTCAGGGTCAAGAACAAAATATGAACTGTAGATTCTCTGACTTATCTGGAAACTTCAGCCTGAGCACTTTTGGTCCACAGTTCTAAATTACATATCCGTATTCATTAAAACAAAATCTGCACTGTACTACACTGTCCTCCCATTGTGCAACGATTTGCTCAAGTGGGCCCAGTAACGTCTCCATCATGAGACTTGTTGTTACAGTGTTTGGCATATTGAATATGTCACAGGTAGGTTGCCAGGCTTTGCTGTGCGGGTGAAATACTCTTGGTAGGTTGCCATGCTCTCCGAGAGGGGTGGAGGAATCAAACCAAGCTCGGCCAGGCTGGCTGCTCGCAAGACAAATGCCCTACCACTGTGCTATCGTAAAATAAATCAAAGAAATAAGCTCTCCCTTCCTACTTTCTATCATAATCCTTAAACACACACAGGGAGTGCTTCATCTCAGGGTTGTTTTCTCAGGCTTAGACACCGGCTTAGAACCTCTACATGGGTTCTGGTGGTAGAAAGAAAAATTGAGGATGACTTTCCAGTGCAGTCCCAGAAACCTCTCCAATTAGTTCAGCTCAGTGTCATCTATAGGATTGGAATTACTACAGGGGCTGTCAATGAGGAATTACTACAGGAGTTTTCAATGAGGCTGTTACAGCTGATGCCCCATGCTGAGCAATCTGCATCCTGCAGAGAGGCACCAGTTTCTCCCCCTGGAAGTCCCCAGACACAAGCACTTACTGTCTCATGCAGGTGCCTGCTCTTACAGTCCCTCCAGGACTTCCGGCTGAGCACATGGCTTCTGGTCTCTAACACATCCAGGGTGAGATAGAACAGAGAGCCCCCGGGTTCGTCATCCTGTGGGCATGGTGAAGTATTAGAGGGCATTCCCCAAGAAGCACAAAACCCAAATGATGAGTCCCCAAAGTTTCTGTTTGAATGACAAGGTCAAGCCCATGAAGTTTGTGAAACTTGCTCTCAACTCTGGAACACCAGAAAAGTGTCAAGTTGGATAAGTAAATACCAGCACTTGTCCCCAAGAACTGTCCCCAAGAGATTTTTTGCAGAGAGCAGAAACTTCTATGTGTCTCTCTGATTGGGGAGCAGGTGCCCACACAAGTCACAGGGTTCTCCACACTCACATACCTTGGCCCCCAAACCTGTACAGCACCTGCCGGAGAGGGGCCTCCACTCACCTGTCTCTGTTCACGGACATCGCTCACTCGGTTGAGACTGAGGATGTAGCCATCCTTTCGGTCCTTGTTGATGTCCTCCAGGGCAAAGCCAGCAAAGGACAGCACATCCGAGTCATTGCAGCCACGAGAAAGAAAAGGGAAGAGGTTTTTGGTGGTCTGCTGAGCTGGGAAGGCAGCGCTGTAGCTTGTGGCCAGGGCGCAGAGCGCCAAGGGGAGCAGTAGACCCATCCTGCAGGGAGCATGGGCTGGGTCAGTGTGTGGACTCGCAGGAAGTGGTTGTTTATAAGGCTCTGGTGGACCTTCCTGAACAGTATTGTAATTTCCGCTGAACTAGTGACCAGGATCTGAAACGTCATGTTCTCTTCTATCTCCTTGTAATCCCAATGTCGATTTCCCTGAGTCAGACCTAGGGATAGGGTTAGCCAATTTTCCTAACCTTAGACCCCATGTGCACTCGATAAATACATCCATGTAAACATATTTGTTTCCTAATATTTTCCCAGGAAATCAATATACACACATTGATCAAGGACATTGGGAGGTCATGATTATATTCTGATTTGTGTTCAGGGCATATTTTGTGGTAGAATGTATGGGTTTGTATTTTCTCTCTCTTTCATTTTTTAAAAACATGTTAACATTTAGAAAGTTTTTACAATATTGTTAATCACACCTTTTTAGTATGCATCAATCCAACATCAGAGAATCAGGCCCAGCATCAGAGAACCCACTTCCCTCCACCTGCTAGTATCTCTAGGGGCACTTCTAATGCTCCCATCCCTCACCCCAGGAAAACTCAGTTCAATAGACAAAATTTTCAGTTCCAATGAGTTTGACCATTTGTTGTTCCCTTACTATTCCCCCCCTCCTTTGTCAGAGAGATCTCTTTGTGAGCTTGTGTGAAGAAGATGACTCCTATACCATGTAGATGAACAGAGCTAATTGTCTAAAATTCCACAAAACTGTATATCAACTTTTTATTCAAAAACTAAAATTTTTAGACACAAAGAAATTTAAAGATTACTATGGATGATAATTCTGTGCTAAGACATTTTGGAGTTTACATCGAAATAGGTAAATTCTACAAATGTAACATTTAGTAGAGTGAAGAGAATTAACAAATTTAAAGTGGTTAAAAAATTAAAGGGTAAAATCTAAACAGGACTATGAAAGTACTAACTGTGTTTCATCCTATGAAAGGGAATATCAGAAATAATTATATTGTAGACACTGCTTAGATTCATGCATTAAGTAAAAGATACAATAAAAGTTTCTGGATATGAAAGAGTCTTAATCACACAGAACATTCAATATAAATGAGACATTAATTTGCTATTGAAAATATGTAAAATCCGTTAGAACGTTTGAAGTAAACATAACTTTCTCTGTCTAGTCAAGGACCACCATCAGCACCATGAGTGAGTATCATAGTGCCACATTCTGAGAAGTTTGAAAATTGGGGATTTAAGGACATTGAAATGATCAATTAAAAAAAAAGATGTGGGTTAAGGGTGAGAGAATGAATCGCAGTGGTCAAAGATACAAACTTCCAGTTATCAGAGGTCTTAGGATCTAATGTATACTATGGTAACTGACATTTAGTCTTGAGCGAATGTTGGAAATGTGATAAGAAGTTGATCTAGGAGGTATGGTGCTGGCGGCACCATACCTCTGTACCTATGAGACAAGTGCATCAGCAGCCTAATGGCACCTTCAGTCTTCCAGATACCCCAAAATTGCTGCTGTGCCTTTGGCCATACCCCAAAAACTTGAGACAAAGTTTACCAAGAGAGTAAACAGCCAAAAGTTAGGTATGTGGGAGACACACACACAAACCACCTCTGGCTCAGCTATATAATTGGAGGCAAGGCCTCTCTGGTTCCTGATTGAACTGCTTAATGGCCATGATCCCAGAGACTCAGAAACAAATCTCGACACCCAGTGACTTTTGGCAGAAATACATCCTGTCCCTGCAGTAGGTTACCGGGGCTGGGCCAACCCAGGTGGGAATAGGTTTCATGCCTTGGCCCGTACCCCCACGGTGGCCTGGTGGCCGCCATCCTCCAGAGGCCACTGGACAGTCAGGTTTGGGCCCGCAGTGACAAGACACGCAGGGCCTCATGGGATGGGGGTCGAGCCGGTCCTGTCCTCCCCACCCCAACGAGATCCAAAAACATTGCCCACGAACAGCCTCTCTGTTTCCTGATCAAGCTGCTTAATGACCATGATCCCAGAGACTCAGAAACAAATCTCAAAACCCAGTGGCTTTTGGCAGAAATGGTTCCAGACCACACAGTAGGGTACTGTCGCTGGGCCACCCCAGGGGGGAAAGAGTGTTGTCCCTCTGCCTGCTTCCTCCTGGCGGCTCGGTGGCTGTCATCCTCAAGAAGCCACTGGACAGTCAGGCTTGAGCCTGCAGTGACGAGACATGTTGGGGCTCACGGGATGGGGCAGAGCTGGGCCTGTCCTTCCCACCCCAACGAGACCCAAAGTCATCGCCCACGAATGGCCTCTCTGGATCCTGTTCAAGCTGCTTAACGACCATGATCCCAGAGACTCAGAAACACATCTCGAAACCCAGTGGCTTTTGGCAGAAATGTGTCCGGACCCTGCAGTAGGTTACTGTCACTGGGCCACCCCAGGAGGGAAACGGTACTGTCCCTCTGCCTGCTCCCCCTTGGTGGCTCGGTGGCTGCCATCCTCCAGAGGCCATTGGACAGTCAGGTTTGGGCCTGCAGTGACGAGACATGTTGGGTCTCATGGGATGGGGATGGAGCCGGTCCTGTCCTCCCCACCCCAGTGAGACCCCAAGAGAGACCCCAAGTCATCGCCCACGAACAGCCTCTCTGGCTCCTGATCTAGCTGCTTAATGCCCATGATCCCAGAGACTCAGATACAAATCTCAAAACCCATTGGATTTTGGCAGAAATGAGTCCGGACCACATGATTCCAGAGACTCAGGAGCAAATCTCGGAACCCAGCAGGTTTTGGCAGAAATCCCTCCAGATTTAACCGTTAAAATGTTGGAATTTCAAAATTGCGTGGCCACTCCTACAGCCACGTGACACCATATGTTATTCATAAGCAGCAATAGAAAACAAATTGTCTCCTGTTGCCTTTTCAGCAGATCTGAGTGTTGGGGTAAAATCTCAAATAATAATGGTGGGGCTAGTGTCAAAATATTGAATGTGATCAAAGTAGAGAGAGAGAGAGTAATGTGGAAATTATCTGAACAGGTAGGGGGAGGGTGTGGGATGGGGGTATACTGGGGTTGTTGGGGGTGGAGAATGGGCACTGGTGAAGGTATGGGTGTTTCAATGTATGACTGAGACTTAGACCCAAAAGCTTTGTAACTGCTCTCATAGTGATTCAATAAATAAAACTACAAAAAATGAAAAAAAAATAAGGTGGAGTTCATGCACAATTCAATCAGTTAATCAGTGGCTGAATAAATAGCAGTACGCCTACATAAAAAAAAAGAAAAAAAGAAGTTGATCTAATGTACTCTACACATGTGCATGAAACAATGGTTATGTGATATGACATATTTATTAACTTACTATTATGCAATCATTTTTCAGTATACGTGTTTCAAATAAACATAAAACTCATCCAATGTTTTGTGTCAATTATATCTCATTGAAATTGATAATAAAGGAATCTGGGATAGAATCAACGAAAGTGAGAGGTATCTCACCAAGCATGGGAGAACTAATGTTACAAATCAACAAAATTTTTCAATTGTACACTATCACTCTAACTAAAAAATCAATGTAGAAAATATTAAACTATAGGTGGTGTATTTGTTCTGAGGATTCTTAAAATTTGCTATTGTTTATTTTTGCCTAAGAAATGAAACTTAGGCAAGTGTTGCAAAAAACACCTCATATTCATCAAACAATTAATTTTGATTAATTTTTGGTCATGCATTTAGACAGACTTGTTGTGACCTCCACATTCAGGGATGTGACCTCAGATGTGATGGTGACCCATAGCTTAAAAAGTGAAAATTTATTTATTCACTGTTGGAAAATGTAGACAATACATATATGATCTATTTTATGTAGTTTAACCTAGTGATTATTTCTAGCTAGCTATTTGGGTACCCAGGTTCCAAGTTTGAAAGAGTGAGGGTATGGGAAAACAAAGAAAACTGACTTTTAACTGGTACTACAGTAATAGTATGAGTTAATGATTTAACATAGATGTGTGTGTGTGATCACAAAAAAGATGAGTGAATGCAGCAGCTGGTAGCAGTGTCTCTCTCACCCACCACGTGCGTTTGGTGGCCATGTGCTGCTTCCCCCACCTGGATCTGCACCCACCACCAACAGACGCATGAGGAGGGAACAGAGCTGGTTGGTGAACAGTTGACATCTATTCCTTTCTCCCCATGCACCTGTTACAGTCTCACTAAGCACCCCATTCCATACTCACACTGCCCCTCATTCCCGTCTCCTTCTGTCCTCTATGCTAGTATGTCCGTGCTCCTTGGTCTCAAGTCCAACCTCCAGGTGATGACGGTGGGTCCCATGGGTGACTTATGTGAAGCTGGGTGGAGAAAGACAGTCAGTTTCTCCCCATCCGCTTCTGCCACCCGGGACTCAGGGTCACTGGGTTCTTGTCTTGCCTCGCAGAAAGGAATTTCAGGAGTAGACAAGCAGTGAAATAAATAAATTTTATTTGGAGGTTTTTGAAGGTGTGGAGGGGAAGAGACAGAGAGAGAGAGAGAGAGAGAGAGAGAGAGAGAGAGAGAGAGAGAGAAACACACTCAAGAGAGAACATGAGCTTTTCCAAAGGCAGAGAGAGTCCCTACATATATCCTAGCATTAGAAACAAAAGCATGAAAGTACACATCTCAAGAGGGGAGATGTGGGTGACACATGTGCTCAGGCACCATGTGCTCGGCCTCGTGGTTGCAAAAAGGACATGGTCTCAGGCAGCATATGTGTGCCCTTCCTTTGTTCAAGGAGGCTTTTATAGGGTTTATCCAACCTGCCCCCATGTGGGGCTTCTTCCTCGGTAAAAGTCCCGTTGCTTAGGAGGTTGCCCAGGAGGTTGGGAGTGGTGATGGTCTTCTTTGGGATAAATCACTAAAATTAATCAGATTGAGGGAGAGGTCCAAGGGAATTCAAGGAATTTCCTCATAGGGAGGAGTTCAAACTCCTCAGGTCCACTGCTCAAGGTCTTATCCTTATCCACAAAGTGGACCAGCTTTGGAATTTTCCTCCCAGAAGTTCTGCTGACCTGTTTCATTGTCCAGGATCTTTCCCTATGTACTTGCCTACATCACAAGCATTCAGGGTAGCAACCACACAAGTGAGAGAGCATTATCAACAAAA